TGCTATGGTACAGCTCTTTCAATACTTATTAGAAGATTCATTCTTTTTTTTTTTTTTTTGGGGGTCCGGTTGTGGGGCCTGAACTCTGGGCCTGGGCGCTGTCCCTCAGCTCTTCAGCTCAAGGCTAGCGCTCTACCACTTGAGCCACAGCACCACTCCCGGCTTTTTTCTTTGTGCTTATGTGGTGCTGAGGAATTGAACCCAGGGCCTCATGCATGCAAGGCAAGCGCTCTACCACTGAGCCACCTTCCCAGCCCCAGAAGATTCATTCTTAACATATTGTATTAAATATGAGCCACCAATATCTAGCTCCAATACTTACTTTAGTTGAAAAATGGATTGTGTCTCCACCTCCAAAGTTCTAAACATGGAGGTAATCCAAATTCTGGAATTTTTTTTTTTGAGATGGAAAAACAACAGGAATAAAACACTAACAGTTTAGGGAAATAATTTCTCTAGCCTCACACCGAGTGTGCTCAACCTGGGCACTTTGAAAGCAGGATTTACCCCACTTACAAAGGAGGTAAGGGTGAAAGGGAGCAGGGTAGGCGACCAATAGCTGTGAATAAATCTAACAGGGATGATGTGCAGAAAATGTTAAAGAACCAGTGCTCTCTAATTGCACTGCCTTAACTGTAATCAAAGGGTAAAGGAAATAATTGGAGACGGCAAAACTGTAACCTATTATAGACTATAATGCCTAGGAACTCTAGGAAGAGCTTCATGTCTGCCTTGGGGCATTTCCCTGGGGGTGGGACACACTCAGCTAATGGTAACTGCACTATGATGTACTACAGAAACGTTTCATCGACTAGAAAGTAAAACATGTGGCAGAAACTTCCAGTGGCAACAAACATTCCATAACCTGGCACTGGTAGCTCATACCTATAATCCTAGCTACTCAGGAGATTGAGAGCTGAGGATCGTGGTTCAAAGCCAGCCTACAGGAAAGCCTATGAGACTTTTATTTCCAAATAACTACCAAAAAGCCAGAAGTGGAGCTGTGACTCGAGTGGTAGAGTACTAGCCTTAAAACTCAAGGACAGCATCTAGGCCCTGAGTTCAAGCCCTAAGCCCAGCGCGCGTGCGCGCGCGCGCACACACACACACACACACACACACACACACACACACCATTCAAAGGCACTCCATTGTGATATTAGCAACACGCATATAAAGGTACTCTGATCAAATTCACCATATGTGTGTTTACTTATGTATTCATTTATTTTTGTGCTAGCACTGGGGCTTAAACTTGAGGCCTTTTCCACTCTCTCTCATGGCTGGCCTCTACCACCTGAGCCACACCTCCACTTCTGCCTTTTCATTGGTTAATTGGAGATAAAAGTTTCTTGGATGTGTCTGTCCAGGCTGGCTTAGCACCTCAATCCTCAAACCTCAGCTTCCTGACTAGCTAGGATTATAGGCATCTGACTATAGGCTATTGTTGGATTTATCTAGATATAAGGTCTCAAGCAATGATTAATTCTACATGTACATGATTTGGGGGTTCTTTCTGTTCCCAGTCTGCACACGGTCAGAGCAACTAACCACTAGTCTCCATGACACCCTCCTTGAAGACTAAAGCTGCCACCACGTCTCCCTTTACCAAGGGCTCCTCAGATGTGGTGAGATGCTACTGTGAATCCTAGAGTTTTGTGTGTGTGTGTGTGTGTGTGTGTGTGCGCGCGCGCGCATGCACGCCAGTCCTGGAGCTTGAACTCAGGACCTGGACACTGTCCCTGAGACTTTCTGCTCAAGGCTGGTGTTTTACCACTTGAGTCACAACTCCACTGCTGGTTTGGGAGAGTGGTTAATGGACAATCTCACAGTTTCCTGCCTGGGGTGGCTTCAAATTGTGATCCTCAGATCTCAGCCCCTTGAGTAGCTAGGATTACAGGAGGGAAAACCAGCACCTGGCTCTATTGTCCTCTTGTTCTTTTAGACAATGACTCCGTACAAAGCAGAGTTACTTGGATAGTTAACGATACACCTGGGGGCCTGCCTACACACTTGTCTGCTCTGTGCCAAGCAGGATGCTAGCTGGGAGAATAGACCAGTAAATTCCCCCAAGTTTCCAGCATCCAGAGAAGACCTCCCCCCCCCAAAAAAAACCCTATAAATAAGTATAATGCCAAGCAGTGCTAAGTACTCTAAAGACTAATAACTGCAAATGGATTCTGTGTGTGTGTGTGTTGTGTGTGTGTTGTGTGTGTGTGTGTGTGTGTGTGTGTGTTATTTGCGATCAAGGGATTGGAGAAAGTTTCTCAGGGGAGGTGACAGTAGGGCTGAACCCAGGAAATTAAGGAAATTAAGCCCTGAGAATTTCTAGGTTTCCTTTCTCAGCCCCCCAAAAAGTGTGATGAGCAATGCATATTCCACCTGGTGGGGAACCCTTGCTTCCGATTCTGCTTCAATTCACCTTGTCAATAGCCAGGCTTTGCAGGCTAGACTAGAGTCTCTTTCATTCAGATGGAAAGTTAGTTAGGAAGCTTTTAACTGTCTCCAAACTGCTTCAGCAGTTTTTTAAAAAACAAAACCCACTTACAATAGATAAAAAAGCTACCAGTCAGGGTTAGTTTTTATAGTATTTACAAGGAGCTGCCTCTGAGGGAACACATATACTGCATGGCTAAGTGTAGCTGGGATGTTGTCAGGAGAATTTTGTGGCCTCAATTGATTTCAGGCTCTCTTCTTTAATCATTTTTAAAAATTGTATTTATTTATGAAGTTTACTATTTATGTCAGTCGTGAGGCTTGAACTCAGGGAGGCCTAGTTCCTGACCCCAAGCTCTTTTTACTCAAGGCTAGTGCTCTACCACTTTGAGTCACTGTGCCACTTCTGGGTTTTGAGTGGTTAATTGGAGATAAGTGTCTCATGGGGACTTTTTCAGCCTGGGCTGGCTTTGAGTCACAATCCTCAGATCTCAGTATCCTGAATAGCTAGGATTATAGACATGAGCCACTGGAGCCCAGCAATCGATTTTTTTTTTAATTGTGCTCTTACTGGGGCTTGAACTCATGACCTGGGCACTGGCCAAGCACTCTACCACTTGAGCCACATCTTGATTTGGGGCTTTTGGTTGGTTAATTGCAGATAAGAGTCTTTACTGCTTCAGCTGGCTTCGAATCACCACCCTCAGTTTTTAGCCTGCTAAGTGGCTGGGTTTACAAGCCTGGGCCTTCCTCCCTTCCCCCGACACCATGTTGGGGCTTGAACTCAGGGCCTGGTCAGTGTTATTGTGCTTTTTTGCTCAAGATTAGTGCTCTACCACTTGAAACACAGCTCAGCTTCCAAATTGTTCATTGTTAATTCATAGACTTTCTGCCTGGGCTGGCTTCAAACCGTGATCCTCACATCTCAGCCTGCTGAATAGTTAAGATTACAGGTCTGAACCACCAACACCCAGCCTCTTGAAAAAACTCTTGAACACAAAAAAATTAGGAAAACGAAAATCTAGCCTAGGTATACCCCTAGTTAATTTCACAAATCCACAGGAGAATGTAGTAACCTTTGAAGTTTCCCCACAAACCCCCATACTCTACAAACCAGAGGAGATCTGGTGTATAACTTTGGAGGATCTTCTGGAAACTGGAATCATTTAGTTGATAGATTATTTGAATTACAAATCGTGTTGTCTAGTCAATATTTCCAAACTAGTCTTTAACAGCAGAGCTCCAGCCTTTTGGTATCTGTCACTTTAACAAAAAAAAAAAAAAAAAAAAGAATTAGCTGCCTTACTTGTAAAGGCAGAGATAACAGAAGTTGGCTGCAGTTATTTACTTGACTGATCTATTTATGTCACATTGTGTATTTTTAAACCACAATTACAATAGGCTATTGTTCAGTGGTATACTTACTGTAGACATATATGTAGACACACACACACACACTACACACACACACACACACAAAACACAAATCACTTCCAAGGAATCCTGAAGGTACAGAATTTTTTTTTTTTTTCCTGGAGCATTTGAGGTTGCTTGCTTTTATTTCCTGCCATGTTATAGATAAATGAAGCTCTTACATGGTTTGGCTTTCCATACGTTTTCTCTTGACATCCTATCTGGTGATAAGAGCATGTGTGTGTGTGTGTGTGTGTGTGTGTGTGTGTGAAGGCTAACACTTTCTTGAGACACAGCTCCATTTCTGGCTTTTTTTTTTTTTTTTTTTTGGAGTAGTTTATTGAAGTTAAGAATCTTACGAACTTTACTGCCTGGGCTGTCTTGAAACTGCGATCCTCAAATCTCAGCCTCAAATCTCAGCTGGGATTATAGATGTGAGCCACTGGCTTTGTGCTATAGATTCTTAAATATCTTCCTTTTTTCTGGGGCTGGATTTGAGGTCTTGTTTTTGCTTGTGTTCCTCCTCTCTGTACAAACCTGAAGGGCCCCTATGAGCTCCTATAGCCTATAGGGCTCCTATAGCTCAGAAACAAGATTAACCTTAACCTTTATGGCGCATTTCCTTGCATTTGCGTAATGATATGCACACTAATTGCAAACAACAACGACAACTAGTTAACTCAGCACCTCAGGTGACCTGACTCCTTTTCTTTGGCTTGTTATTTACTGAGGGGGAAATAAATATAGATAGGTAGGCATATATACATACATACATGCATATTGCCCTGCTCTAAAGCAGCAGGTATCACTTTTAAGTGCAGGGAGAATTGGTATGTTAACTAGCCTCTGGGTGTTGAGAACTTGGTGAAGAGGTGCCATTTGCTACCTGGCCTTGTTGTGGGCCTGGTGGGGGTGATGTCTGTGGGTGGGTCATCCGGGGCCGAGGCTGGGTGTGTGAGGAGGGGGGGGGGAGGGCCTGGGGGCGGGGTGCTAGCCCGGCGGGCGTGACGTCACGCCCGCCCCAGCCCCGCCCCCCCGGAGCCCGGCGGTCGCCTCCTGCATTTTCCTCCGGGCCTCGCCACCGGCGAGCGCGCCTGCACCTGCGGGCGGGAAGCGGACCGGAGCCGTGCCGGGCCGGGGGAGTCCGCACCGCGGCGGCTGCCGTCCTCGGGGCTCCCCGGGAATGGAGCGAGCGAGCGGGCGCGCGCTGGGAGGTGGGTACCTGGAAGGATCGCGCGCGCGCGCGCGGGTGGACGCGGGCCAGGGACGCGGGCAGCGGTGACAGTTCCTGGAAAGCGGGCAGCCGTGAGCGCCGGGCTGGGCGGCACCTCCTGCAGGGCCGGATCGGGCGAGGGGGACCCCCGCCCCACTGCGCCCCGCCGGGCTGGAAAGCGACCAGGTCACTTGGTTTTGATGGGGTTTTTTTCCCCCTGATTACTTTTGGGGCTCGGGGCAAGCAGGACGGCGGACGTCTTCTCTGCGTGGTGGAGAGACACAGAACTGGGGCGATCCGGGCCGGGCGGCTCCGACACGAGGGAGCGGGGTGAGCCTCGCGGGGGTCGAGGATCGTGTACCCCAGCAGTGCGTCATGCGTGGTGAAGGTAGCGGCGGGGACCCCCCCCCTCCTCCGGGCAGGCCGGGCCCGGTGGGGAACGCAGCGCGCGGGGACCCCTGCGCTCGCCACCGCCCGCTGCTCCCTCTCAGCTCGAGAAGTGGGTGGCCGGGGGTGACCTGGGACGCACCCCGTCCCCTGGGCGTTGGGGAGCTCACCCACGGCGGATTGGGGGGTGGGGAGTTCACAGGCCGCACCTGGCACCCCGGCCCCTGCCCCGCAGCCCATGTTGGGGGACCCCCCTCCCCCCGGCGGCGGGGACCGAACTCGGGGAGCTGGGGCACTTGGTGCCGCCTCCAGCTGCGGCAAAAGGGGAACTGGATCTCTTTCTAGCCGTGGTGAGGGGGCTTCGAAGGCGCCTTGGGGATTCAGGGGAGGGGGTGCTGTTCTGGGAGCCTCACGGCTGCGCCCCGGTGGTTTCCCCGAAGCTATATACCCGAGCCCGCGGACCCAGCGGACCGGGGCGCCCCCTGGTGGGCCTTGGGGTGCAGGGGGCGTCAGGGCCCTGCTCCATGGTGTTGTGTGTCCCTTCCCCGAGAGCCGGGATCCGTGGATCCTGGGTGCCAGAAGTGGGTCCAACCAGCCGGGCGCCGGTGATCATGTCTGTAGTCCTAGCTACTCAGGAGGCTGGGGGCTACTCAGATCTGGGGGGATCGCGGTTCGAAGCCAGCCCAGACAAGAAAGTCCTGGAGACTCTTCAGTTAACCACCAAGAAAGCTGGAAATGGAGGTTTGGCTCAAGTGGTAGAGGGCTACCTACCCCTGGAGGAAACATTAAAAATAAAAAGCTCAAGGACAGTGCCTAGGCCCTGAGTTCAAGCCCCAAGACTGGTACAAAGAAAAAGGAAGAAGTAGGCCACCAAAACATTCCCAGAGAAAGGTGCCATCCCTTCCTTGGGCACCAGGTTGAAAGGCTCGGACTTTCACGTCCATCTGTCTGCCTAAACCCAGGCTATGTGTGGAATTTGTTTTTACAACTCACAGGCTTGTGACTTCTCAAACACTTTATTGAAGTGTTTTCTCTGGAAGCTTGTTTCAAACGAGTGTTGTAAGTTCCACAAAGAGGAGTGTTGTTCAGGAGCCAACAGGTGACGGGGTGAAACCCGAGTCCCTGTGTACATTGGAGTGCAGTCTGGCTGCCGGTTTCCTTGGGCCTCCGTTGAAAATAGAAATTCCAAATCAAATCAAATCAATAGGAGAACTGACGGGAACGGGGTTTTTGAGAAACGTAGGTGCTGTTTCCCCCCTGTGCAAAATCAGGAGCTCACTGCCTCCTCTGCGCATTTCAGAGCTTGTCTTTATAAACCACAAAAAAAGTCCCTTCCCCCCCCCCCCCCCAAGACAAAAAGCATCTCTGGCAAAGAACCATTCTTTGTCATCAGATTTCCTCCTTTTGTTAAGCAAGTCTGTCTTACTGTCGGGGAATGTTATTTGTGCATGCAACTAGAATGCTTTGAAAGAGCTCCACATTTCCTCTTGGAAAAATGGATCTTTTTTGTTGTTGCAACTGGTGGCCGTATGACAGACAGCCCAGTCAGCTGTTGGAAAATGTGCAAGTTAGGATGCACCATTGACCTGATGCCTCTAATTGCTGGCCTGAAGTGCTAGAAGTCATGTTTCAAAAGCAACGTAGGTAGCTGCATTATGCTTTTTACATTTTTTATTTGTGTCTGTACTGGGGTTTGAATTGAGTATCTCTCACTCTGCTTAGCTCGTTTTTAATGGTGGTGGTTGTTGTTATTATTATTATTATTCTACTTCAGTTATACCTCCACTTCTGACTTTTTTCTGGTTAACAGGAGATATCAGACTCTCTTAGATGTGTCTGTTCAGGATGGTTTTAAACCTCAATCCTCAAATCTCAGCCTTGTGAGTGGCATGATCACAGCTTGAGCCACCAGCACCCCACTTGACTTTTTCTTTCCAAGTGAATCAGGTGGAATTGAGTTGTGATCTGTTGGCTTTGATTTCTAACAGACCAAGGACACTGAATAGTTTCTTGCTGTGTGAAAACTAAAGAAATTTGAATGCAGGCAATTTCATCCTTGAAGTTAAGTTCAGATTGTTCTGGAATTATCTGGTTAAGAACATCATCACACAAAGGTTGTCAGTTTTCCCTACTGAATGCAATGCAGTTTTTACAGGTGTCTGCATTCGCTGGTATAGTTAGCCTGGAAAGATTGAGTTTTTTTTTTAAAAAAAAACAGGGAATCCTATGACCTCTATGTTAAATGCAGTAAGGCCTTGTTAACAAGCAGTTTTAATGAAAAGGGAGCCCCTAGCTTCAGGGGACACCTAGGGAATGTGAGTACAACCGACTTCACAAATCAGTATTTGTTGGGTTTGGAGGGTTTGTTTTGTGATTGTTGTTTGTTTTGTTTTTGTTTTGTGATCAAAGGATTCCTAACTTCCCTGGGCATGTTCGCAGCAGAAGTACTTCTTCCTAGCAATCCAAGAATGTCACGGCAACTTCATCCAGGGACTAGAGAGAGGACCTTAGGCTTCAGATTCAAGGGCAACAGTGAAAAATATTCTGTTGTTTGCATGATTCTGATTTGATCTGGTGATTTGGTCCAAGGAGACGATGAATAACAGAAACCACACACACATCACTGACAATCGTTACAACCTCATGAAGCCGTTCTTCTGGCCTCCCAAATCTTCATTCCCCTGCCCAGTTGATCTGTATTTATGTGTTGACATGACATCTTTTAGTTTCTTAGTACTTCAGACTATAGCTGTGCCTTACTTTCTCCCATTCCTTTGCTTCCCCTATTCAGGCGACTATGGGTAGTATTCATAAAAGGGCTGATTGGTCCCTCCCAGGTTCTTTTCCTCACTATATTGTTTCCCCTCCTCCTCTCTTTCCCCCTCCTCTTTCATGCACTTACTAGACTAGCACTTGAACTTGGGGTCTGGGACTCTCAATTCCTTTTTTTTCTTTCTTTCTTTTTTTTTTTTTTTTTGCTTAAGGCTGGTACTCTGCCACTTGAGCCACAGCTCTATTTCTGGCTTTTTGGTGGCTACCTAGAAATAGTCTCACAGACTTCCTTGCCTAGGCTGGCTTTGAACCACAATCCTCAGATCTCAGCCTCCTGAGTAGCTCATGCTGACCCTCTTAAAGGCCTGAAATACATTGTATCTGCTTTTATTCCTGTGCCCTTTTGCCATTTTCTGTTGCCTGTGGTGTCAAGTTCAAAGTCTTCTGCCTGACATACATAGTTCTTGGACTTCTAATTCAAATATAGTTGCCCTCTATTGCTGCTGCTGAGAAGAATCGATCTTCTGGGGAAACTAGCCACTGTTCACCTGCAGCTTCCTGTGTTGTGAAAACTTAATTAAGCTCTCTAGGAAACTGTTCTATGCTAATTTATGGATATATCAAGGTCAAAGCTAGAATCCTTAACTATCCTGGAAGCAGCATACCACACAGTAGAAAATAAGATTATCCCCAAATAACCATATTAGTAGAGCAAAATAATGAAGCTGCATTTTGGAGTATAGTATGTCAGTATTGGGATTTGAACTCCGGGCCTCATATTCTCACTTGACTTTTTGCTCAAGGCTAATGCTCTACTGGTTGAGTTACAGCTAGACTTCTGGCATTTTTTGGTTGTTACTTGGAATAAAGAATCTTTCCTGCTCAGACTGGCATCAAACCATGATCCTCAAATCTCATCCGCCTGATTAGCTAGGATTACAGGTCTGAGCCACGGGAGCTGGTTGGTGTCCAGGGTTTTACAGGACAGATGGAAGTCGCCTCCAAAGCAAATAGAGAATGTGGCTAATAATTTGTCAAAATGGTACTTTAGGAAGCTATAGAGTTTTTGTTATTAATATAAAGTTCCTATTCAAATGTCTCTGGTGACATTTGACTATAGCTCAATGGTAGAGCGTTTGCCTCGTACCTACAAGGAAGGCCCAGGGTTCAATCCCCAGCAACTGTCTAATCACAGTAGAAGTCATAATGCCAGTTCATGTATTGTACTAGCAGTAAGAAGTCGTTATATTCAGATAGTTCTTTCCTGATTTTTTTTTTTTTTTGTCAGTGGTGGGGCTCGAACTCTGGGCCTCGGCACTGTCCCTGAGCTCTTCAGCTCAGGGTGAGCATTCTACCACTTGAGCCATAGTACCACTTCCGATTTTCTGGTGGTTAATTGGAGATAAAAATCTCACGGATGTTCCTGCCCTGGCTGGCTTTGAACCATAATGCTCAGTTTTCAGCCTCCAGAGTAGCGAGGATTACAGGCATGAGCCACCAGCACCACCTGGCTAGGAATTTCTTTTTAAATAGAAACATATATGATTATAAAACATAGCACCTACCCCCTTCCACCTGTTGGCTTTCTATGAAGGACATCTGCCCAGCCCTTTCCTGATTTTTACATTCTTTTGTATGCTGCATTGTTAAACCATTTTTGAAATTTTCCATTTTAAAAAAAAGGTCCTGGTCCTGTGCTGACAGGAAAGTCCACAAGACTCTTATCACCAATTAACCACAAAAAAGCCAGAAATGGAAGTGTGTTCCAAATGATAAAGCACCAGTCTTGAGCGAAAAGCTAAGAGACAGCACCCAAGCCCTGAGTTCAAGCCCCAGGATGGACACCAATAGAAAAACCAACCCATTTGTCGAGGGTACTCAGGGCAACACCCTTAGCTCCCAGGTCACATGTCCTCTTGACAATTATATGATGATTGAGAAGTCTTACATCTACAAGCTTTGTATTTGGTTCTTTTTAAATGGTGAGAAGCTGCTGTTTAAATATTTGCAAGGAAGAGAAGGGACAGAGGAGGAAAATGGAACTATTCCATTGTCTATGACATAGGGCTTTCTAGGAAAAAAGTGTCCTTACTCGTACCAACCTCAGGCTCATATGTCAACTTCGTTTTGTCTAGATCCTTTTCTTCTGTTCATCATTAATTTCTCCAGTTGGTTCTGTGTGTGTGTGTGTGTGTGTGTGTGTGTGTGTGTGTGTGTGTGTGTGTGTGTGTGTGCGCAGACACATGATTGAGGCTTGAACTCAGAGCCTAGGCACTGTCCCTTAATTGTAAGTCTACCACTTGAGCCACAGCCTCCCTTCCTGCCTTCTGGTTAATTGGAGATGAGAGTCTTGGAGACTTTCCTACCTGAGCTGGCTTCAAACTGCCATCCTCAGATCTCAGCCTCCTGAGTAGCTAGGATTATAGGCATGGGCCACTGGCATACAGCTCTAGGTATTTTTTTCAAGATACATTTAACTGCACTTCTTTAAGAGAATGTAAAAATACTTTCAATTAGATCTCATGAAAGTAGTTTGTGTGTATGAGAGGGAAGAGGTAAGGATGTGATGATAAAGCAAATGAAGCAAAGTATGATGAACACTTGATGATTCAGTAGGAATTGCTTTAGTGAAAATTAATAAGTAGAGCACTGAAGGCACCTGAATTCCTAACTACTCAGGAGACTGAGATCTGAGGACCAGTGCTGGAAGCTAGCCTGGGCAGGAAAGTCCATGACACTCCAATAACCATCATAAAGCTGGAATTGGGAGCTGTGGCCAGAAGTAGAGCACAGCCTTGAGAAAAACAAAACAAAGCAAAGCAAAAATCATGCTACTGAGCAGCACCTGTTCCCTAGTGTCTCTCTCTCTCTCTCTCTCTCTCTCACACACACACACACACACACACACACTGATTTTGTCTCTCATGATCCTGAAGTTGTCAGTGAATGACAGTCCTAGGTGTACCAAAGACTGGACTTCATCTGGGAGAGTTACAGGTTTGGCATGTGGCCAGCATATCCAGGTAACTGGGAGGAGAAAATGGCAATGTTTAACCCTGGGTTACTCTGACTGAAGGAAGCAGTTCATCGCACATTCCGCAAAAGGAGGCAGACTAAGGAGGACATTTCGATTTTTGGCAGTCTGTTGGGCCAGCCTGGAAAAATCCATGGTTTGTGGTATTTCCCTATTTTATATAAAATAGTGACAATTTTTTAAGGTAAAATTTAATAGTTATATCCTTTATGGATCTGAAAAAAATATACCAGTAGTATTTATCCCTTATCCCCAAGCAGATTTGACAAGGAACAAATGTTTATATTTGATGATCCAGATTAAACTGTATGGAAGGCATCAGTTCTTGTGGTGAGGCCTTTTGAGTTATTCATTAAAGTCTTAATCTAGTTCTTAGCCTTTGATGTGTGCAGGTAGTTATTTTTAAGGGAAGGAGATCCAAACCATTTTCTTTCATTAACACCAACCCCCCCCCTTGTTTATTTTTCCAGTACTAGGGCTTGAACTTGCTCAAAGCTAGCACTCTACCACTTGAGCCACAGCTCCACTTCTGGCTTTTTGGTAGCTCATTGTAGATGAATGTCTCATGGACTTTTCTTCCCTGGCTGGCTTTTAACCTTGATTCTCAGATCTCAGCTTCTTGAGTGGCTAGGATTATGGGAATGAGCCACTAATGCCCAATTACTGGGGTTAGCTTTGTTTTTGTTTTTGTACCTGTCCTAGGGCTTAAACTCGAGCCTGGGCACTGTCCTTGGCTTTTTTTGCTTCAAAACTTAGTGTTCTACCACTTGAGTCACAGCTCACTTTAAGCTTTTTGGTGATGAGTTGGAGATAAAGAATCTCATAAACTTTTGCTTGGGCTGGTTTCTAACCTTGATCCTCAGATTTCAGCCTTTTGAGTAGCTAGGATTTACAGATGTGAGCACTGGCACTCAGCAGGTATTTATTTTATTTTTTAAAGGAAAGGCTTGGTTAGATTCAAGACATTTTCTGACTCTCATTAACACATCCCTTTTTATTGAATAAGCCAGAAGAATGTACCTATGTTTACAAAGCCTTAAGACATGAATTGCACCTGTACAAAATCATAATTCTAAAAGGTCACAGCCTCCTGAGGGTAGTATGAGAAATGAGACCATCTTTGCTTCCTGTTCAGGGTGAATGGAAGTTAAATTTATTAGTTTGACTGAAGTGACGTAGTTCCTTGTACAATGAAGACTATCTGTGAGATACTTGGTCTATGACTGTTGGTGAACTGGTTGAAATTTAAGTTCTTCAAGTGCCTTTTGATTTATGAAAGAAAATCCAAGTTTGATCATCATAGATTAACTTACACTGCTTAGAATTATGAAATAATTGCAAAAAATGACCTCATGCTAGGCTGACATTGTTTAGGCTTCCCTTGTTTAAGCAGACCATAACGTCTATTAAGGTACTATTAGAAGTCTGTGGCTTTTTGCTGTGTGATCTTGAGCAGGTCACTTCTAACTTTTGTTTTCTTTTAAAATGATTGGTTAGACTAATTTTAATTTCATTTCTTTAAAGCCTCTTAATTGGGGGAGGGGCCAGGAGACAGGTATGAAAAATTCCAGCTAGTTGTAAAAGTTGTTATTCTTGAATATTGGTGGGGGGATAATTTTTGGCTCAGAAAACCCTTAGAAAGATGATTCCAGGGACTGGGAACGTGGCTTAGTGGTAGAGTGCTTGCCTAGCATGCATGAAGCCCTGGGTTTGATTCCTCAATACTATATAAACTGAAAATGTCAGAAGTAGTGCTGTGGCTCAAGTGGTAGAGTGCTAGCCTTGAGCAAAAGGAGCTCAGGGACAGTGCCCAGGCTTTGCGTTCAAGCCCGAGGACTCGCAAAAATAAAATGATTCCAGGACTCACTATAGCTATAGTGTACTATTTAGCTAACACTCAGGTACCTGAGATCTAGAAGATCATGGGTGAAGCCAATCTGGGCTGAAAAGTCTGAGAGACTCTTAATCTCCAATGAATCAGCAAAATGCTAGACTGCAGACATGGCTCAAGTGGTAGAGCACCTGTCATAAGTAAGCAAGCCAAGCTAGAGGGTAAGGCTCTGAGTTCAAGGCGCAGTACTGGCACAAAATAAATTTAAAAAGGATGATATACTAGGTGGTTTCTTTATCTGAGGTAGCTTCTCATTCAGAGGAAGATTTAATATCTCACTTTGTCCAACATCAGGGCGTGTGGCATTTCATATAGTTACGTACTGCCTAACTTTTCAATAAATGCTGGCTTCTAATGCAATTAAACATTAATAGTCACCAAGCCTGGATTTTTGTTTAACTTAGTGTTGTATTCAATTACTGTATGTTGAAGGACCCCATTGACGAGCGGCTGGCTGACTTTTGCCCTTAGTAAAAGGCTTGAGGATTTAATGTGCTATACAAGGATTTAACTGTGCGGTTTCTATTTGGCATATAAACTGAGTTTAGTGTCAAGATTAGAAGTCTGAAACCTAAGCAGTTTGGCCCAAGGAACCCAATCTCAGCAGGCAACAGCACCTCATCTTTCAAAATTGCTTAGGAAATATAGGGTGCTGAGTGGGGGGTTTGATGGGGACAAGGCAGATAGCTTATACCTCTCCCTGCAGTCTTAGCACGGGGATTTCATTTGTAAGCAATTTAAGACAGTCAACAAAGTAATTCTGAAGATTTTTTTTCAATGAATTGAGTACCAAAAGGGGAACTTGTGAATGTGTGTGTGCACGTGCATGCACACACATGCCAGTGCTCGCTAGTCCTGACACTTGAACTCAGCCTGAGAAAAAGCTCAGAACCCTGGGCTTTTTTGCTTAAGGTTAAAGCTCTGCCACTTGAGCCACAGCTCCATTTCTTGCTTTTTTGGTGATTAATTGGAGATAAGAATCTCATTGACTATCCTGCAGAGGCTGGCTTTGAACCATGATCCTCAAATCTCAGCCTCCTGAGTAGCTAAAATTACAGGCATGAGCCACCAGCACCTGGATACAAGCTGGCTTTGGCTGCTGCCACCTCCTCCTCCCTCTCCCCCCACCCCCCCCCCCCCACTGGCAAGGACCATTTTCAAATTATATAGCCAGAGGATTTTTTTTTTTTTAAGTTTCAGTGGTCTTTGGGATTGGAGGGAAAGGAACCAGAATAATTTGATTACTTTCTCTGGGGCCAGCTGTATGTCAGCAAGCATTCAATAAATACCCACGGATGGTAAGAGTTATGCCTGCAGGTTTTTAACTAGTTTGTGGATTTTTTTTTGTCCACAGCAGCCATTATTGGATGTCCAGTGACTGAGAACCAAGAGTTTTAGCTTTATTATTACTATTATGCCTTTGGAGATGGAGCCGAAAATGAGCAAGCTAGCTTTCGGGTGTCAGAGAAGCTCCACGTCAGATGACGACTCAGGATGTGCACTGGAGGAATATGCCTGGGTCCCTCCAGGCCTTCGACCAGAGCAGGTGGGTACATCATCCTGGATGGTTGGCTTTCTAGAACACTACTCTAAGAATGCATAGAACTAGCTGAGCACTGGCAGCTCACACCTGTAATCCAACCTACTCAGGAGGCTAAGATCTGAGAATCAGAGTTTGAAGCCAGTCCAGGCAGGAAAGTGTCTAAGACTCTTCAATTAATCACCAAAAACTGGAAGTGGAGGTGAGGCTGAGCAAAAGAGCTCAGGGACAGTTCCTGGGCCCTGAGTTAAAACCCCAGGACTGCCTTCCTCCCTCCCCCAAAATGCATAAAATGTAACTGCAGAAGTGGTGTGTCAGCCTCTCCCCCAACCCCCTACCCATCAGTCTTCAGTCCTGTCTGGATGGCTTTGAATGCTGATTCCTTAAAGTCCTATATAATTTTCCTTCTTTGTACCCATGGGTCTAGGCACCTCATAGCAATGCTGGTTTTTCACTCATGATAAACAAAGTTCCACTGTTAGGTGGACTTCTGATGAGTGATCATTAAGAGAAATTTACTCGTTTTAAAACTTGAGGGACACCCAGCTGCTGGTGGCACACTCCTGCAATCCTAGCTACTCAAGGAGGCTGAGATCTGAGGGTCAAGGTATAAAGCCAGCCAGAGCAGGAAAGTCTGTGAGACTCTTTATCCCCAATAAACTATCAAAAGGAAGAAAGCCAAAAATGGAGCTGTGGGACTGGGAATGTGGCTCAGTGGTAGAGTGCTTACCTCGAGTGCACGAAGCCCTGGGTTCGATTCCTCAGTACCACATACACAGAAAAAGGTGGAAGTGGTGCTGAGGCTCTCAAGTGGTAGAGTGGTAGCCTCCAGTGAGAAATCACAGGGACAGCAAGCACCCAGGCCCTGAGTTCAAGCCCCAGTACCTGCACCTGCCAAAAACATTAGTCCTCCTTTGGAAATTAATCCAGGTCAACATGGCTTCTCTCTGGTTTCCTTGGGAAAACTGATACCAGATATTGAGAAAACAACACCCTTGGAAAAGGAAAACTGACTCATGCTTAGGAGCACCTGACTAGGGAATACTTATATGGAACAAAAAAACAAAAACAAACTTGTCTTTTGAACATACAAAGTGCAGAAAGCAAAGTACGCGGTTTTTGTGTAATGGCTAAAGTTAAGACTGCATACAGCCTGGGTGGTCATTTGCAGAATTTACCCAGGATTCCTCTGGAAGATTCCTTCATGACCTTTGAAAGACTTAGGCTGAGAAAAAAGTAACATTCAATGTGCATATTTTATGGCACGCAATTTAGAGTACCCCCTAATTGTCACTTACAGATTGCATTCCTGAAGAACAATTTAGCAACTGGGTGCTAGTTATCTGCAGGTCTGTAGTTCTGCTGAGTTGGCTCAGCTGGTCTTCTCATTAAGCTCTAAGAGACCCAAAAACCTTGATTTGCAAAGGACAGTACTTATAAAGAAGGAGTAAGCGCAGACCTCACATTCTGTGTGCTGATGTCATTCTCTGTCCCTTATGCAGATTCAGCTCTATTTTGCATGCCTGCCAGAAGAAAAGGTTCCTTATGTCAATAGCCCTGGAGAGAAACATCGGATTAAACAGCTTTTATACCAGCTGCCACCACATGATAATGAGGTAAAGACACAGGAAGAAGAAAATTAACCATACATTGAGTTGCCTCTCATAAATCCTGCTCACCTAGGCCTCTCTTTGGCCTTTCTTCCTTCCATTCTAATTGGGCCTGAGAATACAGCTGTCTATTCTTGAAGTGAACAGCGAAAAGGGTGGTCCTGTAATAAACTTAACACTAGTTGTTTTTTTATAGTGTTTGCAGCCACCCACCAATGATCAGAAGGATATAAATTCCTGATGTTTCCCTGTCTGTGTCCAGGATGAATGCCTTATGGGAGTTCAGGCCCAAAGTTGAGTGCCTAGGGAATTGGGAGTCAAAATGGTAGTTACAGTTAACACATGGGGTAAACTTTTGTGTGTCTTTCTAGTAAAGGTTGATCATAAACTTTTTGTTTTTTGGCAGGAAGGGGCTGGTCCTGGGGCTTGAGTTCAGGGAAGCTTCACCATCTCCCTTAACCTTTTTCACTCAAGGCTGGTACTCTATCATTTGAACCACACCACCATATTTGGGCTTTTTGGTGGTTAATTGGAGATATCATAGACTTCCCTGGATGAGCTAGTTTTGAACTACAATCCTCAGATCTCAGCCTCCTTAGTAACTAAGATTACAGGCATGATACACTGGTGCCCAGCTCATATTTTATTATTTTTTTTTTAATTTTTTTGTTGTTGTTGGTCATGGGGCCTGATCTCTGAGCCTGGGCGCTGTCCCTGAGCTCTTCAGCTCAAGGCTAGTGCTCTTCCACTTGAGCCACAGCACCACTTCCGGCTTTTACTGCTTATGTGGTGCTGAGGACTCAAACCCAGGGCCTCATGCATGCAAGGCAAGCGCTCTACCACTGTGCCACCTTCCCAGCTCACTAATTTTTATTTTTTCTTTATTATTAATTGTGCAAAGGGGTTACAATTCCATAAAGTCAGGTATAATGCTTTCCAGTCAGTATCACCCCCATTTCTGTCTGTTTTTTAAAAAGGCAAAAAAAAATGCATTTTAACTTGTATTCCCCCCCCCCCCCACTTTTTTTGAGGGCTACGAGATTTAGGTGTAGCATTAAAGAAACCCTGGGAACTTTCCAGGTATAATCCTAGCTAGTAATCTTAGCTACTTAGAAGAAGGAGGTCAGAGGATTGAAGTTTAAGGCTGGACAAAAAACTTTTCAAGACTCCATCTCTTCCGTAGCTGAGCATGGTAATGTATGCCTGTTAGCTTTGGGGGGAAGCAAATGCTGGATGCACCTATCATCCACAGCACACGAAGAAGATCAAATATGAGGATCAAAGCCCCCACGCCAATTTGGGTACCAAGGGAGACTACATCAAAAATAACCAAAGCAAAAAGGGGCTAGAGGCATGGCTAAAGTAGTAGAGATAGAGCATCAGCCTTGCAAATATGAGCACCCCCCCAAAAAAAAAAGAAGGACAAAAGAACCCACTAGGGATTCAAGGCAGGGAAGTTATCACCCTGTCTTGTTTCTGGAAACTCATTCTACACATAAAGAATGGGCGAGGAATACTCTAGCAGGGACTTGTGTTTTCTATTCTATGAAGGTACGGTATTGCCAGTCTCTGAGTGAGGAGGAGAAGAAAGAATTGCAGGTGTTCAGTGCTCAACGGAAGAAAGAAGCTCTTGGAAGAGGAACCATTAAACTCTTGTCCAGAGCAGTGATGCACGCTGTATGTGAGCAGGTAAGCCCTTTCCTGCTAAGTGAGTGGTGGGGGTGGTAGGGATATAAAAGACTCCAAACAAAAGGATCTGAGGATCACAGTTCAAAGCCAATCTTGGCAGGAAAATCCATGAGACTCACCTCCAGTTTACTACCAAAAAGCTGTAAGTAGAGCTGTGACTCAAGAAGTAGAGGGCTAAAGTGGCGCTGTAGCTCAAGTGGTAGAGCGCTCGTCTTGAGCTGAAGAGCTGAGGGACAGCGCCCAGGCCCAGAGTTCAAGCCCCACGACCGACCAAAAAAAAAAAAAAAGAAGTAGAGGGCTAATTTTAGCACAAAAGCTCAGGGACAGCATCCAGGCTCTAAGTTTAAGCCACAAAACCTGTACAAAAGATGAGAGAGAGAGAGAGAGACCAGCATTTTATTTCATATCAAAGCATGTTTTTCATTGGTTATCCTGGTGTATGACACTACAAGTCAGTCTGTAGTAAACACAGGCTAAACTGTGCCATACCCAGGAGACTGGCGTGGAAAGGCATTAGGATACACACTCGCTGTTGAGGAAATGCAGAAACATAATGAAGACATTCAGCTCTTTACTGGTAGCTAGTTCTCAGCCAAGGAAATGGATCCAGCAGGAGGCTGGCTCAGGAAAAGCAGTTAATGGGGGTCAGATTCAATGGTGCTTAGAAACAGTCCAAGGGTGGTTTGTATATGTGAAGGTTGTTTATTATAGTCAAGGTAGTCAAGTAACCCAGTGTTAAAGAGCCATTTAGTCACTTACAGAAGATAAAAGTTTTCTCCAGTCGCTGGTCGCTCACACCTGTAATCGTAGCTACTCAGGAGGCTGAGATCTAAGCATCTAAGTTTAAAGCTAGCCTGGGCAGGAAAATCCAATTAACTTTAAATAAATAAATAGAAAGAAAAGGGGAAATACATAAGTGGAGCTGCAGCTCAAGTAGTAAAACACTAGTCTGAGCTAAAAAGCTCCTGAACAGATACCCAGGCCCTGAGTTCAAGCCCCAGGACCAACATTAAGAATAAAATAAAATAATGCTTTTACCAGGTGCTGGTGGCTCACGCCTATAATCCTAGCTACTTAGGAGGTTGAGATCTGAGCATCATAGTTCAAAGCCAGTCCAGGCAGGAAAGTACATGCGACTCATACCTCCAGTTAACTACCAGAAAACTGGAAGTGGAACTGTGGCTCAAAGTGGTAGAATGATAGCCTTCAGCAAAAAAAGAGCTCAGGGACAGTGCTCAGGCCCTCAGTTCAAGCCCCATAATCAACCAAAAATAAGTAAATGGACCTTCTCTGATGAAGCTAGCACTTATGGTCAAATAGGGAAAACTGAGAATCCAGTTACTGAAAGGATTATTTTCATTTCAACCCTTTGTTTTCAGTGTGGGCTGAAGATAAATGGAGGTGAAGTGGCCGTGTTTGCCTCCCGTGCTGGTCCCGGTGTGTGCTGGCACCCATCCTGTTTTATCTGCTTCACGTGTAATGAGCTCCTGGTCGACCTCATCTATTTTTATCAGGATGGGAAAATTCACTGTGGCAGGCACCATGCTGAACTACTGAAACCACGGTGCTCAGCATGCGATGAGGTAAAATAAATAAATAAATATATATAAATTCAGCCCTTAATGCTGGAAAAAAATGAGCCACTATGTAAGCCAGTATTCCACTCTTCCTGTCTAAGCCAGATATGTGACTCCTGGTTTTCTTTGGAGATAATAAAGAGAAGGTAACAGGTGTCTTTACTTTGCTAAGTATAGTATAATGTCCTTGATGAATTTGGAGTGGGTGGGGGTTAGGGATAAGTTGAAGAAGAGTACTTAGTAGATGAATTTTTAGAAAATTGGTTTGAAAAAAATATACTCTAGTGTGTATCTCTGTGTATATATAGAGAGAGAGACAGAGACAGAGAAAGAGACTCTCGGCTGTTATTCTAGTTACTCAGGAGGCTGAGATCTGAGGATCACAACTGAAAGCTAACCCCAGGGCACAGGCAGGAAAGTCTATGAGGCTGTTATCTCCAATTAACCATCAAAAAGTCAGAAGTGGAGCTCAAGTGGTAGAGTGCTAGCCCTGACTGAAAAATCTAAGAGACTGCCCAGGCCCAGAGTTCAAGCCCCAGTACTGTCATACACACCCAAACAACAATTAAAAAAAAACAAAAACCCCAAACCCCAACCTCTCCTCAGTCCTTCAGGCCCATTGTCCTGTCAAGGCCTGCAGAAAGGAGAGCTGTACACAGGCTAACTTTCCGCCTCTCCTCCAGGGCTACAGAGCTACCAGGCAAGAAGACCCTAAGATGGTGGGCATGGGGATTCATCCCATTACTGTGGGATTCCAGAGTCACACTATGAGCCCAGGGAACCATAATTGCTTGGCCTTTGTAGTACTCGTGTATTTTCTTTCATCTTCTGGTTTCATGTTTCCTTGGAAAGATCATTTTTGCTGACGAGTGCACGGAAGCTGAGGGGCGCCACTGGCACATGAAACACTTCTGCTGCCTCGAGTGTGAAACGGTGCTGGGCGGGCAGAGGTACATCATGAAGGACGGCCGCCCCTTCTGCTGTGGCTGCTTTGAGTCTCTCTATGCTGAGTACTGTGAAACCTGTGGGGAGCATATCGGTAAGTCCGGCCTCCATCCAGACACCCTAGGTGATCTACAGCCTTGCGGGGTTTGTTTTCACTTACTCTTGTGAAAACAGAAGTAAAACTTACATGCAGATCATGAATGTTTCGGTCTGGTGAGTTCGGACAGGTGGATGGTCAGTCAATTCTGCCATCACGGCGGCAAAGAATGAATGAGAGGATGCTGAACATTTGCTCAGGGGTTCTGTGAGACTCTGATCTGATTTGATTTTCTTGTGCCAGTCCTGGGGCTTGAACTCAGGGTTGTTTGGGTGTTGATCCTCAGCTTTTTTGCTCATGGCTAGTGCTCTACTACTTGGGCCACCGCTTTATTCTGGCTTTTTGGTGGTTAATTGGAGATAAGAGTCTTTTTTTGGGGGGGGGGGGGCGGGGTCCAGTTGTGGGGCCTGAACTCTGGGCCTGGGCGCTATCCCTCAGCTCTTCAGCTCAAGGCTAGCGCTCTACCACTTGAACCACAGCGCCACTTCCGGCTTTTTTCTTTCTGCTTATGTGGTGCTGAGGAATGGAACCCAGGGCCTCAGGCATGCAAGACAAGCGCTCTACCACTGAGCCACCTTCCCAGCCCCAAGATAAGAGTCTTATGGATTACCCCAGCCGGCTTCAAACTGCAATCCTCATATCTCAGCTTCCTGAGTAGTTGGGATTACAGGCATGAACTACCCCTTACCTGGCTTAATTTTTTCATTATTATTATTATTATTATCTGTAAGTAGTTGTACAAAGGGATTTTCAATTCAGTATATCAGATAATGAGGGCAAAGTATCTTGATCAGTGTCACCCCTCCCATTGTTGAGGGCTACCTTGCACAGCAAAATTACCAATAAGAAGCACAAAAGTACAAAAATCCTGGCACTAAAACAGCCACAAATAGGGCAATTATTTATTGACTGGGAACTGAAACTAAAGGCAAAGCATCCTTTTGTTTGACCTCAGCTTAGGACTCATTGCTGAAATGTCTCACCAAGTGGAAGTGGCAAGTATCAATTCTGAGAGGTCACAGATAAGTCAGTAGGCAAACTGACAAACCCACAACCTTCAAATGATGAAGCCTGGACTGGGAATGTGGCTTAGTGGTAGAGTGCTTGCCTAGCATGCATGAAGCCCTGGGTTCAATTCCTTGGTACCACATACACCGACAAGGCCTGAAGTGGTGCTGTGGCTTAAGTGGTAGAACACTAACCTTGAGCACAGAGAGGCTCAGGGATAGTACCCAGGCCCTGAGTTCAAGCCCCAGGTCTGGCAAAAACAAACAAAAAACAACAAATGATGAAGCCTCTTAATATCCAAGGCATCCAAACTCCCATCAAGAACAAGACAGAAGCCAGGTGCCGGTAACTTACACCTGTAATCCTGGCTACTCAGGGGACTGAGATCTGGAGATCATGGTTTGAAGCCAGCCCGGGCAGGAAAAATCTGTGAAACTCATGTCCAATTAAGCCACCAACAAGCAGAAGGGGAGCTGTGGTTGAGCTGTGCTCAAGTGGTAGGGCACTAGCCTTGAGCATAAAGGACAGTGCCCAGGCCTTGAGTTTAAGCCCCAGGACTGCCCCCCCCCCCAAAAAAAAAAAAAAAAGAAAAGAGTAAGAGAGAGTATATCTGTCACCCAAGAGTTCCCTCTGGAACTGGTTTCTTTTTTTTTTTGGTTCTCCTTCATTTCAAGCAGTAAGCTGTTTTCCTACCCTTTGTCCAAACAGGTGTTGATCATGCACAGATGACCTACGACGGGCAACACTGGCATGCCACGGAAGCGTGCTTTTCCTGTGCCCAGTGCAAGGCTTCTTTGTTGGGCTGTCCCTTCCTTCCTAAACAAGGCCAGATTTATTGCTCTAAAACCTGCAGCCTCGGTGAAGATGTCCATGCCTCCGATTCTTCTGATTCTGCGTTCCAGTCAGCCCGATCGAGGGACTCCAGGAGGAGTGTCCGAATGGGCAAAAGCAGTCGGTCAGCTGATCAGTGCAGACAGTCCCTTCTCTTATCCCCAGCTCTGAACTACAAGTTTCCAGGCCTTTCAGGCAATGCTGAAGATACCCTTTCTCGGAAACTAGATGATCTGAGTCTTTCCAGGCAGGGGCCAACTTATGCCAATGAAGAATTCTGGAAAGGCAGAGTGGAACAAGAAACTCCCGAAGACCCTGAAGAATGGGCAGAGCATGAAGATTATATGACACAGCTCCTCCTCAAGTTTGGTGATAAAAGCCTCTTTCAGCAACAGTCCAGTGAGATGGATATTAGAGCCAATGAGCACTGGATATCTGATAACATGGTTAAAAATAAGACCGAGTTAAAGCAAAATCACCAGAGCCTTGCAAGTAAAAAATACCAATCTGATATGTACTGGGCCCAGTCACAAGATGGACTGGGCGATTCTGCGTATGGTAGCCACCCCGGCCCCGCAAGCAGTCGGAGGCTCCAGGAATTGGATCTGGACCATGGTGCCTCAGGATATAATCACGAACAGACGCAGTGGTATGAAGATTCCCTGGAGTGCTTGTCAGACTTGAAACCAGAGCAAAGTGTTCGAGATTCTCTAGATTCTTTGGCTTTGTCTAATATCACAGGTATGTAATCTAGAGAGTTGAGGGAATTTGGAAAAAAGGAGCTATGAAAGATTTCATTCAAAAAGTTACACTTCAGGGTTTGGGAATGTGGCTTAGTGGTAAAGTGCTGGCTAGCAGATATAAAGCCCTGGGTTCAGTTCCTCAGTACCATATAAACAGAAAAGTCAGAAGTGGTGCTGTGGCTCAAGTTGTAGAGAGTTAGCCTTGAGCTCACAGACAATGCCCAGGCCCTGAGTTCAAGCCCTCAGATTGGCAAATAAAAAATAATTTACGGTTCCACCTTGGAAGGATATGGTATATTAAAAACTCTGGACTTTAAGGAAAGACATTTTCTGTAAAGCTACACTATAGTGAGATAAAGGTGTATCCCTAGGTGAATGCATCCATGTATATTTTTAACACAGCTCCCCCCGCCCCCCCCCCCCCCCGCCCCTACTCCCTTCCCATGCTGGTCCTAGGGCTTGAACCTGGGACTAGGGACTGTCCCTGAGCTATTCTTGCTCAAGCCACAGCTCCATTCTACTTCTGGCTTTTTGGGGGGTAGTCCTTTGTTTTTTAATTGAAAATGAGTCCCAAGGACTGGCTTCAAACAGTGATCCTCAGATTTCAGCTTCCCGAGTAGCTAGGATTACAGGCATGAGCCATTGGTACTGAATCAATACAGCCTTTGAAATCTTTTTTTTTTTTTTTTGGCTGGTCCTGGGGCTTGAACTCTGTGACTGGTCGCTGTCCCTGGGCTTTTTTTTTTGGGGGGGGGGGGGGCTGGTTGTGGGGCCTGAACTCTGGGCCTGGGTACTGTCCCTCAAAGGCTAGCGCTCTACCAATTGAGCCACACCGCCACTTCCGGCTTTTTTTTCTGCTTATGTGGTGCTGAGGAATCAAACCCAGGGTCTCATGCATGTAAGGCAAGCGCTCTACCACTGAGCCACCTTCCCAGCCCCCTGCCCCTTTTTTTTGCCCCAGGCTAGCACTCTATCGCTTGAGCCACAGTGCCACTTTTAGCTTTTTTTCCCCCCTATGATTAATTGGAGATAGTTTCACAGACTTTCCTGCCTGAACTGGCTTTGAACCTTGATCCTCAGATCTCAACCTCTTGAGTAGATAGGATAACAGGTGTGAGCCACTAGTGTTGGGCAGTATTATCCCTGTTTCAAGGAAGAGAAATTCAATTTATTTGAATAAGAACATTTATAGCTGGATTGTACACAAAAGGTCTCTGCATTCTGATTGTATTATATAATGTACTTTATAAGCTCAAGGATTTTTGTTTGGTTTTGACATTTTCCTGAATTACCCTGTTGCAAGAGATTGTTCTAAAATACTCGATTTTTTGTTTACTTGCTTTTTTAATTAAAATACTTTCCAAGCGGGGGCTGGGAAGGTGGCTCAGTGGTAGAGCGCTTGCCTTGCATGCTCAAGGCCCCGGGTTCGATTCCTCAGCACTACATAAGCAAAAAGAAAAAAGCCGGAAAATACTTTCCAAGCCTCTCAAAGGGTTCTAAATGCAAGAGTGGGCCTAGAACCCAGCTAGTTAAGAATATCTTACTTGGGGGGCTAGGAAGGTGGCTCAGTGGTAGAGCGCTTGCCTTGCATGCCTGAGGCCCTGGGTTCGATTCCTCAGCACCACATAAGCAAAAAGAAAAAAGCTGGAAGTGGCGCTGTGGCTCAAGTGGTAGAGCACTAGCCTTGAGCTGAAGAGCTGAGGGACAGTGCCCAGGCCCCACGACCGGACCCCCTGCCCTCCCCCCAAAAAAAGAATCTCTTACTTGTGATAAGGCCTTTGGCCACAGTAATGATGTCCTCGCTCAGCTAGTTTTATAGTCACACCGTGACACCTAGACCTTTGATAAAGGTTGTGTTACTGTAATAAAAGCAAGAAATGGATTATTGGCTAACCTCTGCCAGGAATGACTTGTGCAAAGGAGGTGAGCCACAGCTCTACTCGGACCATGGACTGACTTGTCAGCAATAAGGCCTGAAATAAAAGGGAGTGGTGGAAGAAGTATGGCAGGCCTTGTGCTAGGTATTTTAACATTTAAAATAAAAAACAGAAAAAAAACCCAGATATGATTTGGGGCAAGTTCAAGTAACATGTGTAAGGTTCTAGGTTCAACCCCAGCACCAGAAAAAAAAAAGGGACTGATAATTCCTCAATAATGAGTGGTTTTAGAGAGTTACAAAGTCTCAAGCTAATCACAATCCATACTACCCTCTACTGTCCTTTAGTCTGCTGGGCAATAATATGCTTTCAACTTGCTGGGGTCTTAGCTTTGAGAAAAGTTCTGAAATCATCTAAGCATCGGTGGCTCATGCCTGTAATCCTAACCACTAGTGAAACTGAGATAGGAGGACTGCATTTCAAAGCCCATGTAGGAAAGTCTGTGAGACTCCAATTATCTAGCAAAAAGCTGAGGCAGAGCTGTGGCTCAAGAGGTAAAGCACCAGCCTTGAATGATGGAAAGTCTAAGGGAGTATTTGAGACCTTGGTTTCAAGTCCTAGTACCAGCATAAAAAGAGTAAAGTAGGATTGCTGTGGAAGTAGCATGATTTATGGGTTGAAGGTGGAGAGGACAAACCTTTTCTGAAAGACTTAAATCCTTGTGACATCATACAGTATCCGTTGCAATCACTCAGCTCTGCTGTTGTGAAAGCAACCACAGACAATGTGTGAAGTAGGAGCTACTGTGTTCCAGATCAACTCTACACAAATAGGCTGTTGGGCTGGGGGTTCCCAATGGCCTGTGAGATGCTGGCTAAAGGGAGAGATTGACTTGAGAGATGCTCAGTGAGACAATTTGGCTTTAATTGCTACAATAACATAAGCTTCCACAGCTTATGTCACTGCATGAAAAGGCTTCTGTGGAGAGCTGGTAGGATTTTTGCTGCTTCTTCCATGTGCTAGAACAATTTTTGGCTCCAAACTGGTGGCTGTGACCCTTATACCATTAACTAAATCAAACTTCTCAGTTTGTGGACAAGGTACATTGGTCTAATCAAAGATTAAAATAGGGACATTTTCTTTTTTATTGTTATTATCTTTTTATGCCAGTCCTGGGGCTTGAACTTGGGGGCCTGGGTACTGTCCCTGAAGCTCTTTTGCTTAAAGCTAGCCCCTCTTATCACTTGAGCTAAAGCTCCACTTCCGTTTTTTTTTGGGGGGGGGGTCCAGTCGTGGGGCCTGAACTCTGGGCCTGGGCACTGTCCCTCAGCTCTTCAGCTCAAGGCTAGCACTCTACCACTTGAGCCACAGCACCACTTCCAGCTTTTTTCTTTTTGCTTATGTGGTGCTGAGGAATCAAACCCAGGGCCTCAGGTATGCAAGGCAAGCGCTCTACCACTGAGCCACCTTCCCAGCCCTCCACTTCCATTTTTTTTTTTGTTTTTAGATTAATTGGATGTTAAGAGTCTCTTGGACTTTTCCTGTCCAGGTTAGCTTCCAACAGCAATCCATCTTCGGATCTCCGCCTCCTGAGGAGGGTGTGAGCCTAGTGCAATAGGACATTTTCTTGGAAATGATTCCCTTAGGTAGGGTGTTTGTAACAACTGTGGGAATATTAGGATTTCTAAGAATCACATCTTGTTTCGGCTTCCTTCAGGGGCTTCCGTGGATGGGGAAGGCAAGCCGAGGCCGTCCTTGTATTCGCTGCAAAACTTCGAGGAGATGGAAGCGGATGAGTGTGAGAAGATGAGCAACATGGGAACTCTGAACTCGTCCATGCTGCACCGGAGCGCGGAGTCCTTAAAAAGCCTAAGCTCAGAGCTGTGTGCAGAAAAAATCATCCCGGAAGAGAAACCCGTCCACCTGCCGGTGCTCAGAAGATCCAAGTCTCAGTCCCGGCCCCAGCAGGTGAAGTTTTCGGACGATGTCATCGACAACGGGAGCTACGACAACCTGGAGATCCGGCAGCCGCCCATGAGCGAGAGGACTCGGAGGCGCGTGTACCACTTCGAGGAGCCGCAGCAGCAGCGGGGAGCCAGGCCGCACCACCACCACCACCGGCGCCGGAGGAGCCGCAAGTCCCGCTCCGACAACGCCCTGAACCTGGTCACCGAGAGGAAGCTGGCGCCCAAGGACCGCCTGCGGCTCTACACGCCCGACAACTACGAGAAGTTCATCCAGAACAAGAGCGCCCGCGAGATCCAGGCGTACCTGCGCAACGCGGAGCTCTACCGGCAGTACGCGCACGCCGCGTCCGACTACGCGCTGCAGAACCCCGGCCTCAACCGCTTCCTGGGGCTGTACGGGGAGGACGACGACTCCTGGGGCTCCTCCTCCACCTCCTCCTCCGACTCGGAGGAAGAAGGGTACTTCCTTGGACAGCCCATCCCTCAGCCCCGACCCCAGAGATTCACCTACTACACAGATGACCCGGCCAGCCCCGCACCCGCACTGCCTACCCCTCCGTTTAGCCAGAGGACCACCAAATCCAAGAAGAAAAAGGGACACAAGGGCAAAAACTGTATCATTTCTTAAGTCTAGCCATGAATCCGTGGGCTTTTTTTTTGTTTGTTTGGTTTTGTTTTCTCCTGTAGGAAAAGTTGCTCCAATAGTTTCAAAGTGCTTTCTTGGCCCGTGTAAAATGAGAACCTTACTGCTGTTTACAGTGTCAGATACCATGGAAGAGGTGTGGCTGCTCCCGGTTGACCTTCCTCGGATGGGAGCCAAGGTGCATCTTGTGCCTGTGGGCCCGTGTCTTCGTTTCCTAGAGCTCCTTTGGTTTCCAACCCCTCTTGAGTATTCCTAACCCAAGAGACTTGTCACCAGGTGTTGATCGGCTGGGAGTGTTCCTCTTGGAAGATGGAGAGCTCTAGCCACCTTTGTAAAGCAATAGTGTTTGTTATTCCGTAAGTCAGGTTGGCTCAGGTCCGGATTGGTCCTTGTTGTGAGAGGCATGCACATCATCACACAGACCTAGCTAACACTGTGCATCCCTATTGTATGAGGCCACCTTGTCCCCTTCTCCCGAGCCTGGACTAGCCAGGTGAACATTGTTATTGTATTAGTTCCAGCTACGGATTGAGAAAGGAAAAAAAAATTGCTATTTATAACGTAGTATTTCCTAGACTTAAGTGTATTCCTAATTTAACGGTGCAAATACTAATGTATATACTGTACAGTTCAGATTTTAAAGCTGATATTTTTATATCCCTGAATTGCAAGACGTTTGTTAACACTGCAGTGCTTAGATTCGTTAGGGAATCAGAAGCGGCATTTACGGATGAAACGACTGCTTGTATTTTAGTCAGGGTTTATAAGTTTAGATGGTCAAATTTATATTGCCTAGTGATGGAAAGGTGTTTTTTTTTTTAATTTGATTTTTCAGTCTTTAAAAAAAAAAGGCTCTGTATGCATGGTGGGGCTATGTAAATACTCTTTAAAACCATGGCCCTATTAATCTTATGAGTGTTATTTATGGGTCAAGCAATGTAAACTGTATAAATGTAAAAACAAGCCAAAAAAGAAAAAAAAAAAGAAAAATATCCATACATACCCCTGGAATATATGGTAAAAACAAGTAGAAGCTGTCTGGATGTTTTTCCCTTGGGGTAGGAAGTGCCTGAGCAAGGTAATGAATATCTTGTGGGAAAAATCCAAAATACAACCAGCAGAATTTATGGTTTTTTTTTTTTTGCTGTGCCACTGAGTACACTTCAAGTTCATAGATTCTAGTTTAAGGGGTAAATGATGTTGGATTTGAACTAAGGAGCCAATTATTTTGTTAAGGTGCCATCCCTGCATATATATCCAGTCCTAATGAAAGGTCCTGGTGCCATCCAGGGCTTCCTAGGGAGGTATTTAATAAATGCTGAATAAATAACAAACCACTTTTCTGAATACAAATCTTTGCAAACATATCTGGGTAACTTCCACCATGGAGACACGATCAGTCTGCAGTCCTCCTACTGCTAACAGGCCTTTCTTTGACTCCTACGTGTCCCACCCCCATTAAAACTAGTAGAAGACACAAACCTGGAGTGTGTCTTTCCATACTGGTCAGAGTAGGAAAGCCATGGGGCCTTGAAGACGACAGACAGGAGTCCAATAGAAGTAAAGCATCAGCTGGACAACCTGCCTAGACCCATTCCTGGGTAGGATAAAGTTTTCCAACTTTAGACTATAAGGATTTCCTTTGGAAAAGCTCTAATGGGAAAAGAGCCAGCCTAACAGCAGCATCATTTACTGGGTCCACTATATTTCCAAAACAAGGGGACCCAGTGCTAGGGCATTCGAAGCCCCTATGCTACAGCGGACTGCATCAAGCAGATAGGCAGACTGCAGAAATGCTCGTGTTCCACTGAAGGCGCTGGGCCTCAAGCACCTTCTCTACCGGTTGCTTCTACTAATAAATCTGGCAGCAATTAACTCAGTCACCTGTCCCCATTTGCTTACATAATGATACAGACTTCAAGGACACACAGAAATGCCTCATCACGGTAACAACCTTGATGTTTCAAACTCCTTGGAAGCTAAAGATTAGCTACCAAGGGAAAAGGGGCAGCAACTGCCTTCCAGTTCAGGTGAGTGAAAGGTGTGAACAGATCTAGCTAGCCAGAGTGTAAAGGGTTTTGGCCAGTCACTAGACACTCCAAAATCTGGTCCAAAATAAACATCGATCATCAAGGCCTGGCCACTCACCCTAGAAGGGTGAGGCAAAACTAAAGGGTACATGTTCCCAGAGCAGTTGCCACAGAACACGGCCCACAGGGTCTCCGGCAGGCTTAACAGAAACCCCTTTCAGCTCCTATTAAGAGACAGAACATGATTCATGTAGTGTACACATTTACTGTTCTCTCCACTAGGCCTTCTAGTCCTCTAGTGAAACCACAAGTGAAGTAATTTTTCTTTCCAGCATCTCATTTTAGAGACAAACCAGGCCTTTAAATGATAGTAAAACTGGACCTGAGCACTCGTGGTTTCTGTCTGTAATCCTAGCTATTCAGGAGGCAGAGGTCTTAGAAATGTGATTCAAAATCAGCCCAGGTAGGAAAGTCCATGAGACTATCATCTCCAATGAATCACCACAGAGCCCCAACTGGAGTTGTGGCTCAAGTGATACAGTGCTGGCCTTGCACACACAAAAAAGCTCAGACATAGTGCCCAGGCCCTGTGTTCAAACCCCAGGACAAGCATTAAAAAAAAGTAAAACTGGAAGGAGTAACCAACACTACTAGTGCTCCATTTGTGGATGCCACCTGTGGTCATAGAACGAATCAAGAAGCTTTTTCCTGAGCAGCCAGGCATCTGAACTTTTAAGTTTCCCATTTTTAAACATCAATGAATTCAAACATTCCTTAAATACTGTTGAATAAGCCAGGCACTGGTGGCTCATGCCTGTAGTATTCAGGAGGCTGAGATCTAAAGATTGTGGTTCAAAGACAGCCCAGGAAGGAAAAGTCCATGAGACTCTTATCTCCAATTAACCTCCAGAAAGCTGGAAGTGGATCTGTGGCTCAAAATAGTAGGGAATTAGCCTTGAGCAAAAGAGCTCAGGGACAGCACCCAGGTCCCGAGTTCAAGCCCCACAACCACCAGAACAACTGTTGAACAAAATGAGCCTGTCATCACAGTCCTCATCTCCTTGGCCATAAAAAAGTCAGAAGCAGGTTCCTCTTATTTTTTAGAGCAGCCTAATGAAGGCACAATTAATTGCTATAAGCAATTGCTGGAAGCACACTTCCGTCATCCTGTGGACTTTCTATAAACCTTAAGCATATTAGAGGCTTCCAGGGAAACTAGATCAAGGAGAAATAAGCAGAATCATGGAATTTTCTAGTTCTGAGCTCACATTTTGCTAAGGAGAATTATGTTACTAGAGGAACAATTTAAAGGTGGTGGTGGAGAGAACTTAGTCACAAGATTAGGCTACTTTATACTGTTTGAACAAATCCAGCTAGCTGGCCCCATTGAGAGGATCAATTTGAAAATTTTCCATCTCTGTTCTACGTGTGGAAAGTATTGTTATGCCAACTCAAGAAGTAACTTCTCTAGAACCATATGATTCCAGAGGAGATATATCATACCATTAAGAAGATGAAAATCATGCATGATGGCTCATGCCAATAATCCTATTTACTCAGAGGTAAAGATCAGGAGGATCATGGTTTAAAGCCAGCCAAAAAAGTCAGACTTCATGTTCACTAATACAAAGCTGGGTGCACACTTGTTATCTGGGCTAGGCAGATAGTGTAAATAAAGGGATCATGGTCTAGCATGATCAACCCAGGTATCAATGTGAGACCCTATCTGAAATATACCTAAAGCAAAAAGGGCTTGGAACATGGCTTTACATGGCAGAGTGCCTGCCTTACTAGTAAGCCCAAGGCCCTAAAACACATATATACACTATGTATAAACATATATAGGTGTATGTACATGTGTCTATGGGTGTATACACATATATGTATGTATACAAACCTGTAGCATGAGCCACAGGTGCTTTTTAAAAATATTTTTAAAAATATTGATACCGGATGCTAGCGACTCACACCTGTAATCTTAGCCTCTCAGGAGGCTGAGATCTGAGGATTGCAATTCAAAGCTAGTCCCTGCAGGAAAGTCCAGGAGATTCATCTCCAATTAACCACCAGACAACCAGAAGCAGCGCTGTTGCTCAAAGTGGTAGAGTGCTAGCCTTGAGTGTAAAAGCTTAGGAACATACAAGCTCGAGTTCAAGCTCTACAACTGACATAGATAGCTAGAGAGAGAGACAGACAGACAGATAATTTGAGATTTTGAGTGGACAAGAAGTAAAGGATATAAAATGGAATTCTGGGGACAATTATCTTCCTGTCAGTATTACCCTTTAAATTGGTCTTGTCTCTTCACTGAGTAGTTTGGAAACTGCATAGAAGTCCTTAGTGGTAAAGGATTACTTGAGAATAATCTTGTGAACTGCAAAATACAATGACAGTTTCTGTCCTTTTTTACATAGCGATCTTCCAAGTTTTTGCTCTCCAGTTAACCAGGAGAAAAAGATTTTCTCAACCTTTTAGAGGCTGGCTATCAGGCTCTGGATTGTAAAACAATGCTTTAAAAAGGTGTTTGATATTTTTAATTATACTTGGCTTTCAAAGCCAGGCAATGGTGGCTCATGCCTATAATCCTAGCTACTCAGCAGGCTGAGATCTGAGGATTGAGATTCAAGGCCAGCCTGGGCAGAAAAGGCCGTGTGATTTTCTCTAATTCATCATCATCAAATAAAAAAAAGTATTGGAAGATAAGCTGAGATTCTCTCCAAAACACTAGCTTTGAGCAAAAACGTCTAAAAGACATTACTCAGCACAGGGACAGCGCCCAAGCCCAGAGTTCAAGACCCATGACTGACAAAAAAACAAACAGTGCCCAGGCCCTAAATTCAAGCCTCCGTACTAGCACAAAAAAAAAGTTTGCTTCTCAAATGGGAGACTTTAGTTCCCAGACTCTTTCTACTCTAATGATTCTTCTCAAACTCAACCATAAATCCAGGTAAGGTAATCACAACCTCAAAGGTATTTTCTAAACTATTTTCAAAGCAGTATGGAAGTTAGTAACAGCTGGCAAGAACAAAGTTAAAACCATCAGAAAAAAACTACCAACCTGACCGGATGCCAGTGGCTCACGCCTGTAATCCTAGCTACTCAGGAGGCTAAGATCTGAGGATTGCGGGAAAACTGAAGTGGCCCAGTGGCTCAAGTGGTAGAGCACTAGCCTTGAGCGTAAGAGCCCAGGCCCACAGAGTTCAAGCCCCATGACTGACAAACAAAACAAAACAAAACAAAACAAACTCTAGCAATCTTAAGATTTCAATTGTTTCTAATGTTTTTTATAATAAAGTGGTTCATTTTATGCATAGCCCATTATGATCACATTATATATTAACTACACACATATAAAAAAACTAGTCTGCACTGGAGTCAAGATTTCATCCTAGTTCATAAGATTATGAAACATTACTTTTCCCAATATCAATCTTAGACTGGAAAGACTTGAATCAAACACTGAACCAGTCCTATCACTTCCTAGCTATTGAGACAGGCAAATTATAACTTTTCTTATTATTCACAGCAAAAGTGAGAAAATGTACACTCAGAAGGGAAAAAGTCTTTATTGGTAAAGAATTACACATGAACATATTTTTGTAAACCAAAAACATCATAATGGTGGTCTAAGCTTACTTAGTCAAATATGAGAAAAACGTGGTGTTTCTAATGATTCTATGAAATATTCAATAAAATGAAACTTGAACATATTTGGGCAACAACTAACATGATATACTAAATAGAAATAGTAAAAAAAAAATTAAGATTTTTGTTTTAAATGAAAAATACTTGAAAATTTTACAGATTCAAGGATAATGACTTAGCATTACATTAGAACAATATCAAATCATGGAAAAAAGGACAAAACATCGAAACAGGTGTCTGCTACTACATACATGTGCATTAGGCTCTAACATCATTTGTCATTCCAAT